CGGCATAAGTGCCTGCCTTGCAAGCAGGCAGTCGTGAGTTCGATCCCTGGTACCGATAAAAAAGAAAAAGACAAAACAAAAACAAAACACAGAAGAGTGACAGAGAAGCATTTAGTGATTGCGTGTGCACGTTCATGTGTCCAGCCATCCATGTGTTCATTTCTGCATGAATCCACGTGTCCATCTGGTGGTGTCCATATGTCCATCCAGCCATGAATCCATCTGACCATCTGTCTTATGTCTGTGTGTCCCAGATGCTCGACGAAGTACTGAGGATACGGAGATAACTAAGTTGCTCTGGTTCCTCCAGTGTAGAGGGGAGAACCTGCAGTAAAGTTTCCGCCTAATCTAGCATAATCTTATGCTCACAGTGCTGGAGGAGCAAAGGGAAAGGAGCTTCTGACTGGTACTGGGAGCTCAGTAGGGGAGAAGTTATGGTGTTAGAAACCCAGCTGTCTCCAAGGCAGAGACTTTAGGTATAGAGTGAAGAGTATCAGTCAGACTTGTGTATATTCATCAGGCCTGAACATGGAAGTATTTAATATACCAATTTTGTAGTGGGCTTTCGTTAGTAGCATTGTTTGTGTGGGTATAGGGTATAGGATACTCAATGGACTTGTGTCAAGTCGTGGGTTAATGAGCCCTTGTAACTGGTCCTCCTGTGAGTAAAGCTTCTTAGAGGTCTCTGCCACTTTCCTGCATAGACCTTGATGAGTGGGCTGGGGATTTAGGTCAGCTGCATAAGCGCCTGCCTTGCAAGCGCGTGGTCATGAGTTCGATCCCCAGTACCGATAAAAAAAATAATAAAAATAAAAAGAAATACTTTAATGAGCTGCAGCCAGCCTGGGCTTTGCCTGGGCTTTTCCAGCCTTTCACTTAGTGTTTTGGTGTAGAAACAGTTCTAGTGTGGTCCTGTGAGCTTTGTCCTGATGTGGGCCATGCTCAGTCTTGGTACTGAGTCTTGATTAAACTCGTTTCTATTTTGACCTATGAGTGGAACCTTTTATTCAATTCTCTGAGTATTTAGCAAGTGTTCCTTAGGGTTATAAAAATGATCAAATGTGTGTTTTTTAATTGTAGCCTCGCGGTAACCGTAAACATGGTGCATCATTTATCATCACAAAAGCAATCAGAGGTAAATCTATTTTTTGTTTTGTAAATGATATAGTTACCTGTTTCTTTATATTTCATTTGTAACTGTGCTGTTTTAGAACGTTTAGGGATTTTGAAATGTGTTCTTTGGACTTCTCAAGTGGAGCATAACAAAACAAAGTAGTGTAGGTGTTGTCTCAGTTTAATTTTGTATACACGTATATAAGCAGATGCATGTATGCATGCCTGTGGATTTTCATGCACACATATGTTTAAAGCAGATTAGAGCCAGAGTACAGGAGTTTACCATTAGGGGTGTTAGAAGAGCTAACATACTCAATTTTCATTATCACAAATGCTTTGAAGGTTTGAACATTTAGACGATACACACAAATAATAAAAATTCATTACAGAAAATATAGAAAATAACTGTGAGTTTGAATTTTTTTTTCATTTTACAACCTAAAGACAATCTATTGTGCTTGAGACTCAGAGTGTAGACACACATGTATTCTAAACCAAATCATAAGAAGCACCATTACTATTATCTTGTGTTTCTTAAGATAGAAACCAGGCTTGCTAGGCAAATGTTCTGCTGCTGAGATATTTTAGGTATTGCTATTATTTTTTATGTCTTTGCAATAAAGCATAAATTGGTATTTTGGTTTAATTTTTATACAAATAATTTAGCTCTAAGAGTAATTACTGTGGTTTTTCACCCATGGCTTCATGATAGCTTTTTGGATTAAATTTGACATCTCTAACCATTGTTACATTTTTGTAGTTAGGAAATACTTCAGAGTTCTAACACATAAGCTTAGAGATGATGTAAACAAATATGTGACCTTGTAACCATTTGAGTGTATACATTAGATTATTCTGATTTTAGGAGTTGCCTTCTCAATGTTTGGTTTCATAATGACTCAGCCTGTAGTGTATTTAAATTTTTCCTCTGTATAACTAATTTGAAAATGATTCTTAAAGGACAAATGATTTATATTTGGTTTTATTTTTCTTTTTATTACAGATTATTTATTTTTTTTGCGCCAATACCTCTGGTACAGGTGAGACAGTGGTTTTTCAGAGACGCTGAAAATCAGACACAGATGTTATTTATAATTTATAATTACGTTCTCATGACTGAACCCCAGGTTGTGATGGGTTTCTCAAGTGTAGTGTAATGATACTCATCTGAGCCCATTTCTAAGTAGAGATTTTTTTTTTGTCTTTTTCTTTTTTACTGGTAGCAGGGATTGAACTCACGACCACACACTTGCAAGACAATACTTATGCCACTGAGCTAAATCCCCAGCACCCTAAGTAGAGATTTTAAATGTTTTGACCTGAGCTGAGGTCTTCTCCGTGGATTGGTAGCTTCTGCCTCCTTCCTCCTGGTTAGAAATGTTACATGATGACCCTGCTGCTCTGGATATGTGGGGACCTCATCTTGGCCCAAGTAGCAGGACTGTGATGTCCCTGGCTTTTCAGAAGCATTTTTGTCTTTACGTTTCCATCAGCTCTTTGCTGCTTAGTGTTCAGTGGCCATGCAGTGGTGAGGTTTCTTTGGGTTTCATTCTTGTGTGCTTTTGAATTCTTGAGTGGTAAGTATCTTTTCAGGCAGGGTGGTGGTTTTCAGCCTTAAAATTAGACATGTGGGGATTGCTTTGTAGACCTAGGTACTGCAGATTGCTTTTTCCCAGCCTGAAAAGTCCCCAAGGATGGGTAGCTCAGTGAACGGGACCTCAGCTTGTGTCTGTGCCTGCCATGGTTGTGTCTGCCTGTGCCTGTCCCTATCCCTGCATGTACTCTGGGCCTTTTCAGCCTGCTTTCGGGATCTGGTGTTACAGGTGGAGAAGAAGATTGAGGAGAATCAAGGGAGGGGAGCCTGGAGCCTTTCTCACTGTGTGGGGGGGGTGGTGACTAGAGGATATGTCACCTGCGCTGCTCTCAATGGCCACCTTGTCCTCTCTGAAAGCCCACAGGTCAGGCTTCATGGGTGACTCTTTATCTCCCTCTTGAGAAACCTTTCTCTTTGAATTGGTCATCCTTGAATGACTAATTCAATGAAATTGAATTCTTCTTGAATGTTATTTTGAAATAAAGTTATACTCAGTTGCCCAAGTTGGACTTGAACTTGTGATCCTCCTGCCTCAGCCTTTCAGGTAGCTAGGATTATAGATGTGAGCTGTGCCCTAGCAGTCTTTTTCCCAGAAAGACTGTATTTTCTAGAAATAGATAATTGTCCATGGTAAAATTTCAGATATTAGTAACTTTTGATTTTTGGTATGCTAATATTCAAATTTTTTATTCTAAGGGGGAAAAAATAGGTATCCCTCCCTGTATGCACATGGCATTATTTACAATATTTACTTACTTGTTTGTGGCGTTCTTGCTTAGATTAAAGCAAGTTAATGTGTTGTGGTTGGTTTCAGCCCTGCTTCTTTTTTACTCCCTGATGGCCTGATTCGCTTGGTGAATAGACAGATAAGCTGGCATTTGGTCCTTGCAAGGTAAGGTGGTGTGAAATTCATATAATGTGCTTCTATTTGAATTGGCTGTTAGTTTTTATTATGGGTGTTCATTTTGGGCCCCTTAAGACTTTCCTGCTCAGCTTTTATCTGTATACATTCTTTGTTGCTTGTATTGGCTAGAGGATCAGTATTGATGACAATAGGATGATAGGATCAGTATTGTCTAGAGATGTTCAGTCAAGCTATATTGAGTCATTTTTATGCTTTTTACGTACCTAGATGCCTACATTCCAATTTATTAAATTGGAATGTAGATGTCTATATGCATCTAATTATAAGGTTGAAAGATAATTACCGACCAGGAAGAGGCAGAGAGGAATGTGACTCCATTCTGCAGAGTCCATTGTGTCGACCCCTAATAGCAGTTTCACCACTGAAAGCCAAGGGTGAGAGATGACAGTTTTCTTAGGCAACATGGTTTTCATCCTATGATTGATAAACAAAACAGTTTCATATGCCATGTCTTGCCTCAGAGAAAAACTCCAGAGATGCTCTTTGTAAGAAATGTTGTTAACTAAACATGTAAATATAAAACCAGCCGTATGTCAACATAGTAATGTCAAGCAATAACATGTGGAGAAATGTTCAATCCTTTAAAAAAAAGATGGGCAATTAGAGCTAAAAAGTGTAAGAGTTATTGTAACTTTGAAAAATAATTTGCTCTGTATTGAAGGTATCAAATGAGTAGCTGTTGACTTGGGTTTTTCAGTGCAGATATTCATAATGAGTTTTCGCATTCTTCTTCCCTGGGAAAGCAACCGGAAGCTGCTGGCTGCTGTTCAGGACCAGTGTGTGGAGAGCAGGTAATGGTTAATGCTGCTGCTCTCTAAGGCTTGCTTTCTTTTTTTTTTTTTTTTTTTTTGTCTTTTTCCTTTTTATCGGTAATGGGGATCGAACTCATGACTGCCTGCTTGCAAGGCAGGCGCTTATGCCGCTGAGCTGAATCCCCAGCCCCTCTAAGGCTTTCTTTGAGAGAACCTTTACCTGAGAGAACCTTAACCTGGTTTTAATTTTTCAAATGATTGAACTGCTAAGTCGCTTACTTTTGTGTGGTGTCAGACACTGGCTGGTGGATAGTGCTTTTTTGAGGAGCTCCTCATGCTTCTACTTCCCCAGATCTCTGCAGTCTCCACTTTTTCAGTGAATAAGGCTCTTTTGAGTTCCAGAAGTCATTCCTGTTTGGCTAGTTACTAAGAGAGCTAAACAAATGCTCAGGAAGGTGCAGAAAAGAGCGGGACAGCTTTTGCTCTGTCGGCCAAGGCTGCAGGTCAGGCTAGGGTGGCTGAGGATGATGGTTACATTAGCCACAGTAGTGGTGCTGTTGGCCCAGAGCACCCAGTGCTGTCCCGTGCTCCTTAAGATTGTGAATCTGGGGTCTTTGCTTTTTCTTTTTGGTGGTGTTGAGGATTGAAGCCAGGGCCTTTGTATGGGGCTCCCCAGCCTCTTTTATTTATTTATTTTTGTGTAATTTTAAGGCAGACCTTGCCGGGTTCCCAGGGTGAGCTCAAACTTACACTCTTTCAGCCTCAGCCTCCCAGAGGGCTGGGATCGTGGGCCTGCACCATCACCCCTGGCTGCTGCTGTGCTTGTTGGCTCATGGTAGTTACCAGTGTGAAACCGTTGTCTTCATTTTGCGTATATTTTTCAGGTCTGCAAAAGATGATTTTACGTCTGTTATTGGGAAATGTCAAGGTAAGGGTTTCTAAAATATTTCAAAAAAGAAAATTTTATATCTCCAATGCTTTGCAGTATTTATTAAATTGGAATAAATATTAAAGAAATATATATATTAAGGATTATTATGACTATTAAAAGTTTTAAAATTTGTGACTGCCTTTTCTTAATTCCTTGAGTATTTTGCATTTTGGGTGGGTTTGAAATTTAAACTATTTTTAAAATATATAAGCCAGTTTGGGGAGAAAATATTTGTAAGTATCCATATTCTTTTACTTTGAATTCTTACTTAGTTATAAGTCAAAGTTGGTCAGATATAGTCTAATAAAAACATCTGGAGTTGACAGTTTTTTGATATATTTAGCAAAAATTTATTGAGTATAATATGAAATGTAATAAAAATACGGTGAATACTTACAATAAAAGGTACATTATAATTAATCTCCATGAAAATGCTTCCTTGTGCTTTGAAGGTACTTATTGAATTATCTTTGCCACTTCCTGCAGCAGCTGTGGAGTCGTCTTTCATGAGGGTCTTTTGCTTTGCTATTCTGGCTGCCTGGCTGCCTTGACGTCCTGAAAGAATTAAAAATGTTAAAAAAGGAGCTAGGTATGGTGGTGCATAGCTATAAGTCCAGCACTTGGGAGCTGAGTCAGGAGAACTGTTGCAAAGTTTGAGACCAGCTTGGGCTATAAAATGAGCTCAAGGCTATCCTGAACAGCATAGTGAGACCCTGTCTTAGACAAAAACAAAAGAAAACAACTCCCACACCAAACTCCAAAATGTTTCCATTTCCTGGTCATTGTGACTTTGGGGAAAAGCCAGGAGTTGCACTGCACCAGATCTGGTGACTGAGGTGGCTGAGGACACAGCATTGTGTTTTTACAAAGCGGTCTTTCCTCTGGATGACATTTGGCAGCAGCACTCATCTATTTCTGATCACACCTGGAAAGACCCTCAGGAAAGAGGATTCTGGAGCTGGTACAGAAAGCAACCAGGATGATAGGACTAGTGTGTGTGAGCCGAAGAGAGGATACTGAGGGAGATAATAGCAGTGTATCTTTCACTGTACATTTTTGAAATTTTTATTTAGTGCTTGCTGTATTTCTTCTCTGTAGTTTTTGATCTTGCTTTTTGTGAGCATGAGCTACCCTGCTGGGTGCTTGTGCTGTGACTGTGAGCAGAAGGCGTGGTCTTCTGTGAGAATGTGCAAGACGGGGCTAGGGGTTGAGACTCAGCCCCTGGGGCTGCACATGCTGCCATGATCTCCTCCCTCAGCTCTGCTCATCCTTTGATCGCTGCCTTGGGGTTATGAGTCTGTCTATGGTTTGATCCACAGTACACTTAGGTCTTAGTGATCTGCTCACCGTCTGAGAGCCCTGTCTCTGGGTCCAGGAACCTGCATGGGGACATGTTAGCTCCAAACCACAGCAGAAATGGGAGGACACGATGAGGAGGGTTGTGTTTGGTGAACAGCTCTGTTGCCTTTGTCTCCTATGCGCGCCTGCAGTTCCTGTGTCCATAGAGCCAGAGTGGTGCTCTGGGAGTCACTGTGAGGATGACACGGTATGCTGGCATGGTATGGTGTGCTTCGCATGTGTCTTCTCATTTAACTAAAAGAAAAGAGCCTGTATGTTTTATCTAGAGCAATAATAAACATTTGACCGTGAAAGAGAACAAGGTGGAGGAACCAGGAATGGTGGAAGCCACGCGGGGTAGGGGAGCCTGCCCAGGCGCTGGTGCAGCATGCCTTGGTGGTGTGGGCCAGCTTCCTTCCCAGGTCCCTCTCAGCCATGTAGGTGTGTGGGGGAGCCAGATGGCCCTGGGAGTGTGTGCGACGCTGCTGAACTGCACAGCCCCCGTCCCAGCCCCGAAGCTGAGTACTTACCCGGTTCTTCCTTCTTTGAGGTTTTTGCTTCTCTAGCAGCTCTAGGAAGACTTTTGAAAAGCGCTGTTGGTGATCATCTTGTAAAAGCTGCGCTATTCGTTCTTTTCCAGAACTACATCGTAGGTGGCTGGAAAACCCAGGGATACAGGCTTTGTTTCTGGTGGTAACTGAAATCTTAGCTCTTGATGAAAAGGCATGCTCTTGGGGACACGGGCTGAGGATGGTGGATGCGCTGTTGATAACCGCAAGTCTCCGTGAAAATGAGGCCCCCAGAGGAGTTTATTTCCTAAATCCACTCATCCCGTCAATACGAGATGAGGTGGGGAATGGGGACAGTGGAAATGTGTTTGCGGAGTTTAGTCAGCACAGGAATATTTTCTGGGCAAAGTTGTTCTCTTGCTGGTTTTTTGGTTTTTTTTTGTCTTTTTCCTTTTTATCGGTACCAGGGATCGAACTCACGACTGCCTGCTTGCAAGGCAGGCGCTTATGCTGCTGAGCTAAATCCCCAGCCCCTTTTCTTGCTGGTTTTTATGTAGCATCTGTGTATACATCGGTGTCTTTACTCTTGTTATCATTTTGTGTGTTTACTTCCAAATTTGATTTTTCTTTTTAACAGTCTAAAGACAGGGAACTGATTTTCTTTTCATTTTCTCCTATTGAAAAAACAAAAGCAAAAACAAAAAAGCTTTGTTGCCGGGTATGGTGGCACAGGCCTGTAATTCCAGTGCTCAGGGGGCCGAGGCAGGAGAATTGCTGAGAGTTCCAGGCCACAAAAAGATCAAGGCCAGCCAACACTACTTAGTAAGACCTTGTCTCAGAAAAGCAAAAGCAAAAACAGCAGAACAACAAAATGTTAACTGAGTGTTTGCAGCATCTTGTTTGGATTTAGTATAGAGGACCTTTCTTGGACTTTTTTTGTAACAGGATTCGAACTCAGGACCTCACACTTTCTGGACAGGGGCTTATGCTGCTGAGCTAAATCCCCAGACCCTCTTCTTGGACTTTTTAAATATACTTCCGTTGTTTTGTTTTTTGAGATATGGTCTCGGTGTGTAGTTCCCGTGGACCTTGAACACTCAGCGATCCTCTTGCCTCAGCTGTCTGATGTTGCAATCACAGACATGCACTACCATGCCTGGTGCTTTTTGAAATATACTTTTTGCCTAATCATAGTCAAAATGCAGAAATTTCTAGATCAGGTATTTTTGCTTATATACAGAATATATGGCACAGAGGCAGATGGAGTGTGAATAATTTCCAGCCCCTTGTTAGGTGTGTGTGTAGGGGAGACTTCTATTAGACCTCTTGGGGACGGCAGGCCTGTTCTATTACTGTGCCCTGTTGGCAGAGATGTTCCAGAGACAGAAGCCTCTCGTGTCAGGGTTGTGACACGTGCTCTGCTCCCCATCTGGAGTGGCGGTATCTAGGCAGACCTTGTTTCTGAGGGTGTCCAGAGTCCTCTAGGTCAGATAGTTATGAAACAGCGATGTGCTATGACAGATGCACCTAGAGGTGTGTCGATGGCCTGGGGGTCACACAGAAGAGAGAAGTTGGCTCTGAAAATGTGGAGGGAGTAGTAGTGACCCTCACAGAGGCCTAGCAGGAGGAGGAGGCCAGAGGGAGCCATGCGGGGCAGAGGCTGCTGTGTGGAAGGCACATAGGTGTCCAGCGCGCAGCTGGGGACATCCCCGGGGTGGGCTGCAGGGCATGCACTAAGGGGCCTCTACACCGTTTTCCACATGCCTGGGCTGCATGTGTTCCCTGCAGTGGCGTGCATGGCCCTTCTCACCAGCACTCCTTATGTGTTGTGCCTTTTGGGGGTTCGTCATTCTTATCCATTTTTGGGGAGCCAGTCCTCACTGGGCTTTGAATGAGGGCTCCCGGGTGACCGCTGATGTGAAGTATTTCCTCACCTCCCTGTCGGCCAGTTGTGCACCTTCTTTGAGAAACATGGGTTTAGATCTGTTTCCTGTTTTAAAACTGAACTGTTTAAAAAAAAAAAAAAAACGACAACAAAAAAACTGAACTGTTGTTGCAAATTTTGATTTCCTTGTATATATATTCTAGGAATTGACCCTTGGTCAGGTGGTCATTTTATTTAAATACTTTCTTTGTTTTTTAATTTTAAAGAGATTAAGACAGGGGTTGGAGATTTAGCTCAGTGGCATAAGCGCCTGCCTTGCAAGCAGGCAGTCATGAGTTCGATCCCCGGTACCGATAAAAATGAAAAAGACAAAAAAAAAAAAAAAAAAAAAGAGATTAAGACAAAAGAGGACATAACAAAGCAGATCAGAACAGAACAATGTAAGCAACACAGTTCTTCACCATAAGACAACCCGTAATTAACAGTAACTACCATAATGTCTCTTTCTTTGAAATAGTTGAGCATAACTTCATATACAATAGTATCAAACATAACAAAATAGTATAAAATCATTCAAGAGAGTGAAAGTATTACAGGGCATTCAGAACCAGATAACAGAGAACCAACAATGGCTGCTATATTTTCTCATTTTCCATAGAAAATTTGTTTATACTATCACACATAATAAAATCCAATAAGGTGCAGTATGATAGAACCAATGGAAACAGAAGGACAAAGGTATAGTAGGACTTCAGAGTAAGGTATTAAATCAGCACTATTATAAGTCTTATATAAGTTTTATATAGTCTTGTTTTCTTCAAAGTAGCTGTTTTCATATTATGACAGATAATAAAATCAAACAAGCCAGGATAAAACCATTCCAACTAATGAATACAAACATTATAAGGCTTCAAAGCAATGAATGGGGAATGATTACTATAAACTCTTATGTACTCTTACCATTTCTTACTCTAGGGAGACTTTACGGTATTTATGTGAGTTTGATTTATTTTGCTTACGAGTATAGTTTCAACTTGCGTCCATTTATTTATAAATATCTCAATGTGATCATTCTTTTTTTTTTTTTCTTTTTCCTTTTTATCAGTACCAGGAATCAAAATGTGATCATTCTTTATAGCTGAGTAGTACTCTATTGTATAAAAACACCACAACTTTTTAATCCATTCCTCAGCTGATGGACAGACACTAGGTTGTTTCCAAGATCTAGCTATTACAGACTGTGCTGTTATAAATATGGGTGCACATGTATCACTGTGGTATGATGTTTTGAGTTCTTCTGGGAATATGCCTAGAAGTGGAATAGCTAGGTTGAATGGGACTTTCAATTCCAGCTTTTTAAGGAATCTCCAGACTGACCTCCACAGTGGCTGCACCAGTCTACACTCCCATCAACAGTGCAAGAGAGTTCCTTTTTCCCACAGCCTCTCCAGCATTTGTTGTTGGTAGTTTTCTTGATCCTGGCCATCCTTTCTGGAGTGAGATGGAATCTCAGGGTTGTTTTAATTTGCATTTCTCTCATGATCAATGATGATGAACATTTTTTCATGTATTTATTTGCCATTTGTATTTCTTCATCTGAGAAATGTATATTTATCTCAGATGCTTCCCATTTTTGGACTGGGTCTTTGAATTTTGGGAGTCTGATTTTTTAAAATTCTTTATATGTTTTAGAAGTCCTTTGTCTGAGGGACAGTTCACTAAGATATTTTCCCCAGTTTGTGGGTTTTCTTTTCACTATGCTGGCGATTTCTTTTGACAGGCAGAAACTTTTTAATAAGATGTGATCCCAGTTATTGATTCTGAAAAGTATTTCCCATGTAGTTTGATTCCTGTTCATGAATTCTCTAACCTACCCCTATATCTTCAAGATTTTTATCTACTTTGTCTTCCAACAGATTTAGTGTTTCTGTTTTAATATTCAGATCTTTGATCCACTTAGATTTTAGGTTAGTACATGGTGATAAGCATGGGTCTAGTTTTAGTTTTTGGCATATGGAGAGCCAGTTTTCCCAGCACCATTTATTAAAGAGGCTGTCGTTTTTCCAGTGAGTATGTTTGGCCCCTTTATCAAAGATAAGGTG